TGCTCTGTAGTTCAAAGAGGTGATCTGGGCAGAGCTGATAACCCTTCTTGGGGTGACATTACAGCGTGCATAGGAAACTGCAAGCACACTGGTACTCCGGCAGGATCAACAGTTACTATTAAAATGGAAATACTTTTAATGGTATACTAGCAGGCCTGGCGCTACCGCAAGGCAAGCGGCCGCCTGAGGGCGCTGCAGGGTGAGGGCGGAAGAAACAGGGCATTTTGATAAGTGCTTGTACTTGTCAAAATGCCCCGATGCTTGCGGTATTAATTTTTTTTCACTTACCTTCGGTGCGGGAGAGCAGCGTCGAGTCAGCGCGGGTCCGGTGGGAGGAGCTAAAACATGCTGATAGGGAGCCGGCCCAGCGCTACAGGGGGTCAGGGGGGGGGGGGTCGGGGGTTGGGGAGGGCGCAAAAATGCAACTTTGCCTGTGTAGGCAAAAATCCTAGCACCGGCCCTGTATACTAGAGCTGAACTATGGGCTGGAATAAATACTAGGGATGCACCGATACTAGTATCGATATCGGTGGCGATACCAAGTATTTGGGTGAGTACTCATACTCGCCCAAATGCTCAGATACCTTCCCCGATACCGGAACTTCCAGTCAGAAGATTTCCTCTAATCAGCAGTGCCGTATGGGGAACATGGAGCCAGCTTCCTGTGCGATCAGGAAGCTGGGCTGCGAGTAATGACCCGGCTTCCTAATTGGCCGAGTGCTGAAGCTAGGGGGGGCATGTGCCCCAGGCACCGCTGGCAGAGCCAGTGGCAGATTCGATAGGGGGGAAACAATTAATATTATTACTGGGCTGGGGCAGGCGGCACCGCTCCCTCCCTCCACTAGCACTGCCATTCCTGCAGGCACACCCGCACTTATGTATGTATGTGTATATATACTGTATGTATATATAGATATATTCTCATATGTTTTGTTTCTTCATATAAATATATTCCTATATGTGTGTGTGTATTATATATATTTATGTATTTATTTATTTTTACATTCATATTAGTGGTCCGCGGGATTTAAAATTATGAATTTAGTGGTCCATGAGGTCCAAAAAGTTGGCGACCGCTGGTTTAAAACACAAGAACATCAGTACAATGAATGGGGTAACTGCACAGTTGTACCGTTCACATTTGTGTCCACAAGGTGGCGCACTAACAAATATAATCCTGCCGCTTACCCACATGGTGGACCCAGAAGGGCTTTGGGTAGTACAAGCTCCGGTCTCCATCCTCAGTTGGCACTTTAATTTTCAAGGAGACCGTAACGTCGTTTCTTGCCAGGAAGGCGCAGTCACAATCTTTTAAAGTGACCACCTGCTTGCAGCTCTGCCATGCTTCCTCCCTGCATACAAGGAACAGCAGTCACATGCAGAAGCAGAGAGCTTACCTAAAGCGGAATGACCGCATTTCGGCTCTGGTTGGGATTTAACCCGATTTGTGGATCCCCATTGTTCTCTTCCCATTGATCTGTATACCCTGGTGGTGATCCCCGTACCTGTATCTATAGAAGACTTGCTGGAATGGCGGCAGGTCAATGTCCGTCTTCTCTTTCCATTGGCAGCACACGAAAGTCAGGTCAGAGGTGAAACATTTCAGGCCGGAAATATCTAAAAGAAAGATGGCTGACAGTGAGAGGAAGGAAATGCCCCCAATAGTGACAGCGGCAGCAGCAAAAGCAAACATTGTCTGAAGTTCAAACCCTCCCCCACTCTATTGCAAATATGTTTTTGTTTATAAACCTGATGGAGAGATTTCTCACCACATGCTGTCTTCATAGGAAGCAAGGGAAAATGTCCCAAAAAGGATTGCTTTTGAGGGAGGGGCTTAAAACTTTTTTATTACTTTGCTTAATTGCTATCACATAGGGGACTTACAATCCCCCATGTGATAGCATATCAGTGGTGACAGGTACACTTTAAGGTGACACTAGGGGTCTAATACACCTATTGAAGTGCTTCTGGACAGCTGAGGGACCAGACGTGACGCAATCACCGTACCCACTTCCTGCCAACACCCGTGATGCCAGTCCCAGTCCAGCAGGAGGGGCAGCGGAGCCCGAGAATGAAGGCAGGGGTTTCGGTCACACACTGTCCTGGCTCCTGGAAGCGATCTGGCGGCAGCTCAGCCACCAGAATCGCTTCAAGGGTAAAGCCAACAGTCAGTAAGTGCTGCTCTCTCTGCTTGTGCAGGGTGGCTGGTCTTGTCTCTGCCCCCTCCTGTAATAAAGACCGCTCACTGCTGCTCTCTCTTCTTGTGCAGAGGGACTGGTCTGGTCTCTGCCGCCTCCTGTAATACAGCCTGCTTACTGCTGCTCTCTCTACTTGTGCAGGGTGGCTGGTCATGTCTCCGCCCCCTCCTATAATAAAGACTGGTCACTGCTGCTAATCTTTTTATTAAAAGACTCAAGCAACGTTCACCTCTCACTGCTGCTCTCTCTGCTTGTGCAGGGTGGCTGGTCATGTCTCCGCCCCCTCCTGTAATAAAGACCACTCACTGCTGCTCTCTCGCCTTGTGCAGGGGGACTGGTCTTGTCTCTGCCTCCTCCTGTAATAAAGACCGCTCACTGCTGCTCTCTCATTGTGCAGTGTGACTGGTCTTGTCTCTGCCTCCTCCTGTAATAAAAAACGGTCACTGCTGCTATTTTTTGTATAGGGTGACTGATCTGGTTCCCGCCCACATCTGTAGTTTCCTGTAGTGGGTGGAGCCTGCTGGGCCCCTCCCACAGCTCTGCTCTCTGTACAGCACTGCGACTGCTAATATCTGGACTTGTAAGGCATTTGATGCGGACAAAGTTGCTTTACATACTCTGTTGCTAGATATTCAAACACATTTGTTGTGCCTGGAATGATTACAGTAATAAAAATGTTTTTTACCTGAATACCCCGAACTCTCGAACATGATCACGTCTGACCACGGCCCCCAGATTGCATGTTCACCTATCCATGATGTGCGGACGCGAAGTTGGTAGCGCAGGTGCGGCATGAGCTGAGTCAGCGTCAGTTCTTTGCCCGATACGATCTGCTCAGAGATACAATGTGGTCACCAATGTGTCACATTCTACGGATCGTTTCCGGACACAAGAGATACAAAATCACCTTCCGCTGCTTGTCTGTGGAATCCTCCGACCAATACTGAACCTCGTACTGCAGAATAAAGGAGAACTCGGATTCCGGGGGGTCCCACCGCACAACCATCTGCTCTCTGCTTTCATCCCAGGTAACCCTGATATTGCCGGGATACGGGAATATTCCTGGAAAACACACCGAAAATGTTCCCGTTAAATGTGATAAATCACATCTGCCCCTGCTGAGACCCTCCACATCTGTCCCTGCTGAGACCCTCCACATCTGTCCCTGCTGAGACCCTCCACATCTATCTCTGCTGAGACCCTCCACATCTATCACTGCTGAGACCCTGCACATCTCCCCTGCTAAGACCCTCCACATCTGTCCCTGCTGAGACCCTCCACATCCGTCCCTGCTGAGACCCTCCACATCTGTCCCTGCTGAGACCCTCCACATCTGCCCCTGCTGAGACCCTCCACATCTGCCCCTGCTGAGACCCTCCACATCTGTCCCTGCTGAGACCCTCCACATCTGCCCCTGCTGAGACCCTCCACATCTGTCCGTGCTGAGACCCTCCACATCTATCCCTGCTGAGACCCTCCACATCTACCCCTGCTGAGACCCTCCACATCTGTCCGTGCTGAGACCCTCCACATCTGTCCGTGCTGAGACCCTCCACATCTGCCCCTGCTAAAACCCTCCACATCATATTGCTGGGATTTGTAGTCCTCTATAGCTGATGGTATTATTCTGCATTGCTGTATATCGTATTGCTGGGATTTGTAGTCTTCTATAGCTGATGGTATTCTACACTGCTGTGTGATGTATTGCTCGGATTTGTAGACCCCTATAGCCAGTGCCATTTGGCTTTGCTGCAGAATGTATTGCTGGTATCTGTAGTCCTCTATAGCTGATGGTATTTTTCTGCGTTGTTGTACAATGCACTGCTGAGATTTGTAGTCCCCTATAGCTAATGATATTATTCTGCATTGCTGTATAATGTATTGCTGGGATTTGTAGTCCTCTATAGCTGATGGTATTATTCTGCATTGTTGTATAATGTATTGCTGGGATTTGTAGTCTTCTATAGCTGATGGTATTCTACACTGCTGTGTGATGTATTGCTGGGATTTGTAGTCCTCTATAGCTGATGGTATTATTCTGCATTGCTGTATAATGTATTGCTGGGATTTGTAGTCTTCTATAGCTGATGGTATTCTACACTGCTGTGTGATGACAGATTGGGATTTGTAGTCCTCTATAGCTGATGGTATTATTCTGCATTGCTGTATATCGTATTGCTGGGATTTGTAGTCTTCTATAGCTGATGGTATTCTACACTGCTGTGTGATGTATTGCTCGGATTTGTAGACCCCTATAGCCAGTGCCATTTGGCTTTGCTGCAGAATGTATTGCTGGTATCTGTAGTCCTCTATAGCTGATGGTATTTTTCTGCGTTGTTGTACAATGCACTGCTGAGATTTGTAGTCCCCTATAGCTAATGATATTATTCTGCATTGCTGTATAATGTATTGCTGGGATTTGTAGTCCTCTATAGCTGATGGTATTATTCTGCATTGTTGTATAATGTATTGCTGGGATTTGTAGTCTTCTATAGCTGATGGTATTCTACACTGCTGTGTGATGTATTGCTGGGATTTGTAGTCCTCTATAGCTGATGGTATTATTCTGCATTGCTGTATAATGTATTGCTGGGATTTGTAGTCTTCTATAGCTGATGGTATTCTACACTGCTGTGTGATGTATTGCTGGGATTTGTAGTCCTCTATAGCTGATGGTATTATTCTGCATTGCTGTATAATGTATTGCTGGGATTTGTAGTCCTCTATAGCTGGGATTATCCGGGGCTTACATAGCTGGACAGATGTATCTCCAACAAAGGGATTGGTTTGTCCTGTGCCATACATATTAGTAATCATCGCTCCTCCTTACCCAACATCTCCACCTGGACTGTGCGTTGGCGCAGAATCTGATTGTTACTTTTATCTTTGATGAAAACATGGAGGTTATTGAAGAGTCGGACGTCATCATGCTCGCACACGTACAGCGCCGGGCTCCCGTTCTGGATTCTGATGTCACACTCCTCCTCCGACTCTTTGCTGGGAACAGAATCTCTAAAGAGACAAAAGGAAATCTGAATTCACGTGGAGCTCCGGCCCAAAATGTATTTTTTTAAGTTTTAGAAGGAAGGTGGAGATGGTTAGGACCCCTCTAAAGGTCCCACCAGGGAAATTTCCTTTTTGCTTCCTGTTCCGGAAGACACAACAGGAAGTGAGAGGAAATCTTTCCGAAGAGAGAGAAAATCCTCTCTTAGTTGTCAATGGAACAGAGGGTCCTAAATAAGGGGTGTGACTACAGATCATGGGGCCTCATAGCTAAATTTTGATGGTCCCACGGGAACCTCCCTACTATCATGGATCTCAACGTAAAGAATGCCTACGTCAATCAGTCAGTCAATGCAAAAGGGGTCAGGGGACAGGAAGGGGAGGGGGGAATCAATGCCTGGAGTGAACTTTTAACATTCATTTTCCGGATAACCGCTCTGTCCTCAGGAGCTCCCCAATCTCTCTCATCATCTCGGGTCCTCCCACCCCTCCCTCCAGGCTGTGGTAGAGCATGCTATAGCGTGTGCATGACCACAAAAAACATGCCCTAGTACAAACTTCTATAAACTGTGGGGGGTATTTTGGCAGAACTACAAACAGCTGCCAGGTTAGTTGAGGAGACCCTCTGGGATATTTACAGACTGTGTTAGGCATTCAGGGTTAGTTTCAGTGTTGGCCGGGATGACCAGATGCTCTGAAGTTGGTGAATCTACACAGTGAGTACAGAGTCAGTGTCATCAGCAACCTCTGCAATCCTTAATGATACAGTACTGGGCTTGTGTTATCTTCACATGCACACAGATTTTCTATGTTTTCATTGCCTCAACAGCCCCCCTAATGGGTCCCCCCTCTACCCCCGGGCCCCATAACAGCTGTGTGGACTGCTATGGTTACTGCTACAACAATATCCCTATTGGAAGATTTCTCCACTACTCCTGATCCAGTAATAACTGTAAACTGTTGACCCCTAATGGGGCCCCCTTCCACCCCCGGGCCCCATAACAGCTCTCTGGGCTGCTATGGTTACTGCTACAACAATATATGGGCTGCTATGGTTACTGCTACAACAATATACCTATTGGAAGATTTCTCCACTACTCCTGATCCAGTAATAACTGTAAACTGTTGACCCCTAATAGGGGCCCCCTTCCACCTCCGGGTCCCATTACAGCTGTGCGGGCTGCAATGGCCATTGCTATGACAGACTCCAATATGATCCAGTAATAACTGTAAACTGTTGACCCCTAATGGGGCCCGCTTCCACCCCCGGGCCCCATGACAGCTCTCTGGGCTGCTATGGTTACTGCTACAACAATATCCCTATTGGAAGATTTCTCCACTACTCCTGATCCAGTAATAACTGTAAACTGTTGACCCCTAATGGGGCCCCCTTCCTCCCCCGGGCCCCATAACAGCTGTGTGGGCTGATATGGTTACTGCTACAACAATATCCCTATTGGAAGATTTCTCCACTATTCCTGATCCAGTAATAACTGTAAGCTGTTGGCCCCTAATGGGGCCCCCTTCTACCCCCGGGCCCCATAACAGCTGTGTGGGCTGATATGGTTACTGCTACAACAATATCCCTATTGGAAGATTTCTCCACTACTCCTGATCCAGTAATAACTGTAAACTGTTGACCCCTAATAGGGGCCCCCTTCCACCTCCGGGTCCCATTACAGCTGTGCGGGCTGCAATGGCCATTGCTATGACAGACTCCAATATGATCCAGTCATAACTGGTGACACCAGAACAAGTAGGGAGGGTGAATCTCCACAGCGAGGACATAGACAGCGATAAAACCTGACAGAGGGTCCAGGCAGTTCCCCACTAAAATCAAAAACCTAAAAAGAAATTTTTGGCTATGCATTCTGTTTAAAGTGTATGTACACCCATCAGCAAACATATCATTGCTGGTCCTTGGATGCGGTGGCTGCATTCGTTTTCTTTTGTAAATAGTCCCGTCAATGATTAAATGTTACTTACTCGTCATAGGAGTAGTAAAATCCGTACGTCACATCCCTGCCGGTCCCCAGCTCTTCGGCCTCCCAGTAACATGTGATCTTCATGAAGTTTCGGGAGAAGCAGTGAGGGATGTTCTGGTCCCCGGACAGGAAGAGCAGATCTGAGGGATTAATAGCATGACTTATACTGTGACAACGCCGGGTCACATGATCAGGAATGGCAACATTGTTGCGCACTGCCAGAGTTTAGTTACTTCAAGTAGAACTGAACAGACAGACACAGTGCGTTCCGGCCCGATTCTGGCCAAGACGCGCTGCATTGCATTGCGGCCGGCTCACTATGTTGTAGGGCAGGAGGGGGCGTGGCGTTCCATTGAAATGAATGGCACCGTAGCCACGCCTTTGGGCCGCAATGCGATCGGCCGCACGCGAACGCAAGGCACATCAATGCCTGTGGTCCGGTTCTGAAGAAAATAGTGCTTGCAGCATTTTGTTTGCATCGGACCGGAACGCAGGCAATGATGTGCCTTGCTTTCCCGTTGCGTTGCGGCCGGAGGGCGGGGTTACGGTGCCATTCACTTCAATGGAACGCCCCACCCCATCCTGCCCCACAACATAGTGAGCCGGCAATGCAGTGCGTTCTGACCAGAATCGGGCCAGAACGCACTGTGTCTGGTGTGAACGAGACCTGAAGCCAACACTTCTCTTTTAGTTTTGGATACAGTAAGGGGCGGGTTATAACCCCTGTCAGATTTTTATTTGCCATCTGTGCCCCTTTGGGGAGATTTCCCTTTACTTCCTGTCCAACAGCTACAACAGGAAGTCAGAGGAAATCCCTCTAAAGTGAGGGAAATCCCTGGGGGGTCACCAGAACTTGTGTCCCCACTGGAAGATGTCCCATCTCTTCCTGTTCTGGTGATAATCCAAAATTTGGGATTTTTCTTTCACTTTCAGTGAGAACATTCACCAGGACACATAGACGGGGTGAATCTTCCTAACGGGGACACAGACAGCAATAAAAACCTGACAGGGGGGGTCTAATCCCTCTCCGCTCTGTCCAAAACAGGAAGAAAGTTTTGGCTTCCAAGGTTTTGGATATTGTTTGGATGTTTTTTAGGTACACAGTACATGTGAAAATGATCAGCGTTACGTTAATGTGCGTTAAAGTGAATCTTTCCATCCTCCAAGCATGTACACACAGAGGTCTATTTATAACCGATTCACACAGCTGTTCCCCCTACAAATCTCTCGGTGCCGATAGATGCAAAAACCAAAGTTCTCAGATAGTGTTGGTTTTCAGGTTAAATTTATGTGATGTAATACCACGATATGGCCACTAGATGGCGCTGAGGAGCAGAGGAAATAAGTAATAGGAGTACTGAGTCAGGGTGCTGTGATGTTTTCAGGAAGCTATGTACAGCAACCCGCCGGCCACTCCCACCAGCCATCATCTGCCTGCATTGCATAGAGAAGGACAGAGAGGGATGAAATCACACTTTGTTATATAATAAGTTATGTGATGAAAATGGAAAGGATTTATTTAAAAATGGCGTTTTCATCAGCTTTTCTTTCCAGAAGAACAGCACCATCTTTGCTCAGGCATCATCCAGAGTCACCATCTACTTCCTGGACTGAGACGCTGGCTCAGTGATGACAGTCATGTAAATCCTTTTGACTGTGCAGTTCTTGGCTGTGTTCACAAATGTCTGACACCAATCAGTCCCTGCTGCAGCCTCTCACCTTGTGACTTGCTGCAAAGTTACAATGTTGAAGTCCAATCAGTGGGGGAGGGGAGACTAAGGAAATGCTTCCTCCTGCCTGCAGCAGACTGATCACTGGGGGAGGAGAGACTGAGCAGGGACGTCCCGAGGCTGGGTGTCACCCGGAGCTGAAACCAGAGGACACTCCGCTGTGACGTCATCGCGCATTTGCGGTAGTCTTATTGATGCCTGTCGGCGGCCATCTTGGTGATGGACGCTGGCAGAGAGAGGAGGGGACGTTCACCCGGTGGGATGAGCTATGCCGCCGTATCCCCTCCTCTCTCCTGACCGAGTGCCCGACTTTTCGTAGGGGGTGACATTAAAATGACTGTCAGTCATTTTGGTGTCACCCCTCCAACGGTGGCACCCTGGTGCGGGCTGCACCCCCTGCACCCTCTTTGAGACTGAGGAAATGCTTCCTCCTGCCTGCAGCAGACTGATGACATCATCTCAGCCAGGGCAGAAGCTCAAGGATGGCTTTTTAATAATAAATGGCTGTACGTTGTGACATGTCGGGAATCTATCCTGATAAACATCAAACATGGCGGCACGGGACTATAAAGAGAAAGGTGTGAGAAGTCAGTTATCCTCTAGGAGTGTCGTTGGTGGAAGTTGAGGACGGAGATGGGACGGGAACAGATACATTTAAAAAGATATTTCCCTTCGGGACTCTCAGGGAAAGTCGTCATTATTGAGGACATGAAAACCTCAGGGATCAGCGGATCTCCCCCCAGATCATCCGGCTTACCTTCTTCTGTCACCAGAGACAGCACGGCGGTCACCCACAAGGTGAGGACGATGGAGACCGCTCGCTGTCCTCCGCACCGTACATCCATCATGTCCCCGAGGGGGTCCGAGCTCGGTGGTCTCCAGCAACACAATGTGCCAGGAGGTTCTCAGGGGACTTATCTGACTCTCATGCTGGAGCCGCAGGAAATACGGAGCGGCTGAGGGGGCCCCAAACCAGCGGTGTGCGGTGAGCTCTATGTGACAGTGACACGGCCCTAGGCAGCCAGTGCATCCTGTTGGTGGCTGGCATGGGGAAGACAGACAGTAAACAGCAGGAACCCGGCCAGGAGGTGATAAGAGACTTGTACTGGGATGGAGCTCGGGGACGTCGTGGTAATTAATGGCTCGCGTCTCAGTTGAAGTGTACCTATCGCGAACCAAAACATTGAAGTGGCTGCAGGATTTTAAAGCTTAAAGGAATTTTCCACTTCTGCAAAAGATGAATAAACATTCCCACGCCGCGAAAAGAGAAAAAATGAACATTTATTAAGTCTCTGCATTGGAGCCTAAAGAGCATTGCAGCTGGTGGCGGGTGCAATGGTCAGGGTTCTGCAGACTGTTGCTCCAGACCCGGGTCCTTCGGTTATGGAGATGGAGGAAGTTATCAGTGGACTACAAGCAGGACCATCCCTATAATGAGGCAGCCTTATGGGGTCACATTGGGGGGCACCCCATTTCCGAGCAGAGTGAGCCAGATTGTTAAGAGCTTGTAGCGACCTGTGACGCACTGGCCGGCACCGTACCCAGCTCATTGACGTCGCTGAGTGCCAGGAGCTGAGAGGGGCGCTCTGGCTGGTGTCCTGCCCCGGTTCCTGGTAATGACACCAGTCAGGTGGGTAGGATGCCAGACCTAAGGTACTGTGCAATTCCAGGCCTGCATTGCCAGCACAGCCCCCCTCAGACCTGCACTGTCAGTAGTCAGCATAGGGTTGCCACCTGTCCAGGATTTACCCGGACAGTCCGGGTTTTGAATGCTGTGTCCGGGTTTCCTGGCAGCAGAAACCCGGACACAAGAGGTCAGGCAGACAGGGGCAACCAAAATTAAGATAGGGGCTACTGGCCCCCCCCCACTGAAAATAGTCTCAACTGTGATATTTACATATTAATGGTTGGCGCTATTTACATATGAATAAGCCGCGACTCATTCTCCCCCCAAAAAATATCCTTGCGTCGTTAGAGTGCTCGGGTTACGCTTGAAGAAAAGGTGGGAACCCTAAGTCAGCACCCCCCCAGATCTGCAGCACCCTCACCCAGTGCCATCATGCAGAGGGTGCGGCCTGCAACAGCTCAAACCATCATTTTGGTGACTCCCCCTTTTGAAAAGTCAGACACTCATTCATGGGCCAAGAGCCCAACAGCTGCATATGAGAGGAGGGGACCCGGTGACATACAGGTTGCCACCTGTCCAGGATTCACCCGGACAGTTCGGGGTTTGAATGCTGTGTCCGGGTTTCACGGCCGCAGAGACCCTGGCAACCAAAATTAAGATAGGGGCTACTGGCCCCCCCCCACTGAAAATAGTCTCAACTGTGATATTTACATATTAATGGTTGGCGCTATTTACATATGAATAAGCCGCGACTCATTCTCCCCCCAAAAAATATCCTTGCGTCGTTAGAGTGCTCGGGTTACGCTTGAAGAAAAGGTGGGAACCCTAAGTCAGCACCCCCCCAGATCTGCAGCACCCTCACCCAGTGCCATCATGCAGAGGGTGCGGCCTGCAACAGCTCAAACCATCATTTTGGTGACTCCCCCTTTTGAAAAGTCAGACACTCATTCATGGGCCAAGAGCCCAACAGCTGCATATGAGAGGAGGGGACCCGGTGACATACAGGTTGCCACCTGTCCAGGATTCACCCGGACAGTTCGGGTTTTGAATGCTGTGTCCGGGTTTCATGGCAGCAGAAACCCGGACACAAGCTCAAACCATCATTTTGGTGACTCCCCCTTTTGAAAAGTCAGACACTCATTCATGGGCCAAGAGCCCAACAGCTGCATATGAGAGGAGGGGACCCGGTGACATACCCTATTCCACCAGATGACCGTGCCCTCCTCTCTCTGCCGGCATCCATCACCGAGATGGCTGCCGGCAGTTAAGTGCGTGTAATGACGTCACGCGGCTGCACCAGGTGACACCCAGCCTGGGGACGCCTCCGCCCTCACCTAACCCCTTCCACCAACCCAGTTTTCAATGGACATCAGTGCACTGTGAATTCTGCGAGCACCCCCCACTACAAGGGACATATCGGTAAGGAGTGCGACAAGGATAGTACTTATGGTTTTTGGGCTTGTCTCAATGGCTTCAGTTTAACATCAGTTTGAGACATTTCTGCGGTCACATAGAATTAATTGACAGTTGCATTTGACCTGCAGTCAGGCCCAAACCACACTCACTTGTAAAGTCCCTCCTCTAAATATATGGGAGCCAGTGGCGTCACAAGGGGGGTGCGGCCCACACCCAGGTGACACCATTGGAGGGGTGACACCAAAAGGACTCACAGTCATTTTGGTGTCACCCCCCTCTGAAAAGTCAGCGCTCGGTCATAGACCGAACGCCCGACAGTATCAGGAGAAAGGAGGGGACCCGGCGGCATACCTTATCCCGCCGGGTGACTGTCCCCTCCTCTCTCCGCCGGCGTCCATCACCAAGATGGCCGCCGGCAGGTATCAGAATACTGCGGCACGTGCACGATGACGTCTCGGCGGGGGGACACTCGGTTACCGCTCCGGGTGTCACCCAGCCTCGGGACGCCCCTGATGGGAGCCACCCACTTTTGACCCAAATAATCTCCTCGCTATACACTATTTTTGGGTTACTGTGCATGCTCAGAGTGATGATGTGACCCTCGGGACACCATCTTGAGGGCCAGCAATATCGGGTCAGCGCACATGTATGGAAGTCTGCTTGCTATCATGTGTAGTACTCCACACCGCTCATGAGCTAAACAGAGGTTTTGTAGACCTGCTCGGGGTGAGGTGGCCGGTCCCGGGAGTCCCGCGTTGGACACAGATCCATGAAACAAGAGATACAAACGTTATGTGAGGTTTATTGAGGTGGATACAACAACTGTACAAGGAAAGGGAAGACACATCCGGGGACACTCGGTTCTCATTCTAGGCAGTGGCAGTGTTCAGCTGTACATCGGAGGAGGAGGAGGAGGAAGGGGGTTCATCCTTATCACACACGTCCAGTCATACAATCTTTTTATAGACCCCCCATGCTGAATCTACAGAGCTACATTTGTGCGCGTTGCGTACGCGGTCAGAGAGGTTCCGGCACAAGCTGTGATCCGGCCATGGGCTTTGCAGTCCACCTCGCAGTCAACTAGTCCTTGTACGTGACGTACAATAAAGTCCTGAATTTCCGGCATGCAAAGCACGGAGGCCACAGAGCTCCCCCATCCCGGTATTACGCCTCTTCCGCCGTGGCGTCGATTCCGGCGTAGGTGAAGTTTTCAAAGAGCGCCGTGTTCACGTACGCCTGGGAGAGACAAGAAAAAAAAACACCATTGTGAGAATCAGAGCGGAATTGTGTTGCCTACCCCATCCTAATCTGTCCCATCCCTCTGGTCTTGTTCCCTTTCTAATACAAAGATATTATTAGGGATTAAATATGTTGCTGCAGAGCAAGCCACTAGTGGGAGGACTTAAAAGAGAACTATGCGGTAAGTGTTTTTCCCCATAGTTCTCTTAAGGGTCAAGGGAGGACATATACTAACCTCCTCCTGTGACCCAAAGCTCAGTATATAGCGGGCTACAGCTCGCGGTATACTGAGACCGCCGCAGCCGGGATGGATCCCGACATTACAGTCAAGATCCACTCAGCTGCGTGATTGACAGCTGGCTCTGCCTATCTAAAGGCAGAGCCAGCTGTACCCTCCCCCGTCCGTTCCGCCAGTCAGCGCTGGAGGATCAGAGCGGGGAGGGGGGAATCCCTGCAGGGAGCCGTGAGTGACAGTCACGGCTCTCTGCAGGGAGATGATCGAGAAGTGAGCGAGCGGCGGTATGTGTTCTCTCACTTCCCGATCTATTGAGCCGACGTGTGACAGTTTCATTGTCACAGGTCGTCTAGAACTATGAGGATGAGTGATTTTCACTCACCTCATAGTTCTCCTTTATAGATCTGTATATGACATATAGAGGGGGGGTGAAGCTGTGTTCATGTTAAAGGAGAACTATGTGGTCAGGGCTTTTCCCCATAGTTCTCCTTAGGGTAACGGGAGGACACAAACTAGCGTCCTCCCGTCACCCTAGGCTCAGTATACCGCCAGCTACAGCTCCCTATATACTGAGATGCCGCAGCTGAAGCGGATCCCGACAATTATGCCGGGATCCGCCCAGCTGCGTGAGTGACAGCTGGCTCTGCATATCTAGAGGCAGTGCCAGCTAAGCCCGCCCCCTCCCCCGTCCATTCCGCCAGTCAGCGCTGGCGGATCGGAGCGGGGAGGGGGGAATCCAGCCCCTAGAGAGCCGTGACAGGATCGAGAGG